GGACCACACATTTATTGTCTGTGATTCAAGTATCGATGCAGCTTGTCTGCTAGCTCGAGACTAGCTAAAAAGGCATCAAAAAGAGCCAGTCAACATCTTGGACTTTTACGGCAATTTTGAGCCATCAATCTTTCCGCAAATGTTGAACGCCTACGTGAGGCCTCACGTGGAATATGCGACCCAGGCCTGGCGTTCCTGGCGCAAGCGCGAGGTCGATGCACTTGAAGCTCCACAACGTAGAGCGACCAAACTCGTTAGAGGATTGTTTCATCTCTCCTACCAACGCAGACTACAGTCCTTGAGATTGTACAGTGGTGAATATCGACGTCAGCGAAGAGACCTAATCATGGTTTACTTTATACTGACGAACCCAACTCACCCATATCGCAATCGGTTGCAGCTGAGCCAAAATACGAACCTGAGAGGCCATCAGCTCAAACTGGCTACGCACTACAGTCGACTTGATTGTCGGCGCAACATTTTCTCCGTCCGTGTGTCCCGTGCCTTGAATGTCCTTCCGACTCACATCATCATTGCCCCTACATTAACGCTTTTCGAAAAAACGCCTCGATGAAACGGTTTTAAACTTGCATTACTTGATATAGTCCGTTCCACTTGGAGGACGAAATAACGCAAACCTAACCATGCGCTTAACGGCCCTCTCCGCAACGTGGCGATGAGGATACATGCAGAAGTGTCTACGTGATTCAATAGCTTGGAACATATTTGGAACCGATCGGGAAGTCATCATTTCAGAAAACTTGGTAGACGACCGGTTAATGTATTTATGGTGATAGACCATTATCACCATAAATACATTAGCCGGACATCTACCAAGTTTTCTGAAATGATGTCCACGTGATTAGCTTGCGTGTAGCTAAACTGGATTAATATACCACATCTGTCAGATGAAGAAACAAACGAGTGAGCGTCGTCGTTCCCTTTTTTATTTCTTACGCACTTACTGAACTATAACAGCTCCCTATACTATTTTGAGTGTGCATATTCGATTCCCACTTCAAACTACCGTTATGCAGTAATGCATTTTACTCGGTGGACGTTTGAAATGACGATTTACTTATTCGATGATCCTACAAATTTTAATTTTTACTCCAACCATCCTACGGAATTTGTCAAGCACATGCCCATTGTTCAACAAGGCAAATCCACCGCTGAACTTCACCAGCTAACCTGAAAGCGACAGCAAGCTAGCGCCTTTGGACGTTTTGCTACAGGAAATGAAAGCCAGTCATTCGCTCCCTCAATTTGAATATTAAAACAACAAAACGACAGTTGGTAGATGCAAGCCTTTCGTATATTATCTGTTCAGTGCCCATAACAATAAACAACGGGAAACAATAACAAACGGCGGGTGTGATCAAAGAAAGAAGCAAACTTGAAAATCAAAATGGGTGAGAACGATTCGGTCTTCATGTCCAACATTGTTTGAGGCCGATGAATAAGTGTTTGTACATGCAGAGGATTGGGTGCATTCTACTAATCGCACTATCCTTAGGAAATCGAAGTTATTATGGATTAGATTGCCACAACAAAATTCTGAACGTGGCATCGAGCTGGATCCGGTGGGCGGTAATCCATAGGTGATTATCTATTGAAGATGCCAGCGGCTAACGCAACGACTAAGCTTGGGGAGTTTAGGGATGTTCGTCTGTTTCTCAAGCAGGATCCACTCCGATACATGTTCCTTCATTCGGGAAGATAATGCTCTATCCGTTCTGCCAATGTAACTGACTGCAGTTGCAGGTGGATTTGTATACACAAGGAGGGTTTAAAGCACTGAGTTCCCTTTATCATTCTAAGACAATGAGAAGACTGGTATTGCGAGATGGAACCATTTCGTGTTATCTGCTCACTCGCAAACTAACAAGCTAGATATGAATCACGTGACAGAAAATCGAAGGTTTTTCTGACCCAGGGTCAACCCGATGGCCTGTTTCTTTTAGATGTCTGGCGATAGATGATGCCGGCAGCTTAGATACCTTTCTTGTTCGGCTGCTTGTTGTGTCGATAGTTCAGCGATCCCTTTTAGGATATGCTCTCCAATGCGCTTATCCAGAGATCTATCTGTCCTGCCAATGTAACTATTTCCGCAGATACAAACGAATTGATAAATACAATGGGTTGTGGCGGAGATCGGTTGAGTAGGCCTCCTTGGAGACATAGGCAACTTCCTGGTTCCCCGAATGAGGAGAATCACTGCATGCAAATGTCTTCCAAGTTCGGCGGCCGCGATATCACCTTTGAAAGATAAGTGAAGGTAGACAGACAGTTTGGACACCCTCGGGCTGTTTTCCGTCAGTTGACTATGAAATCGAATAGACGCCTCTGAATGAGAGTTGGTGAAGATTAGTAGAGTTCCCCTCGGTTAAGGTACCGGCAACTTGCTCGTTCGATTGACGATGATGACCTGAGCAGCACAGTAGTTCCAATGCACGGCAGCGATCAATCACTTAGTGGTCCTTAACTTGGCGAATCACCCTTAAATGTAATTCGATATAAACTTCCTTTTTGGTTGCCTACTGTACCAAGTCCTTCGGTCTCAGTGGTTGACTGTGCTTCCCAATAAATCTTCGAGGGTAAATGTTCGACATCAGTGTGGTTTTAACTGGGCAATATGTTGTTCATATGGAGAGAAAGCAACATGTTATCAACATAGCGCCTGCACTACGGCAGAGGGTCTATCTCAGTGGACATTCTTTTTATGATCATGAGCCAAGAAACCTGCCAGTAAAAGATGCAATGGGCTACCCATTGCCACCTCTCCGACCTGACAGTTTAGTTAGATGAAAGATGGTTCATTTAAGAGAACGGTCTTCCGGAAAGCTACGTAGGTAGGCCAATAATGCGCTTTTTATGACATGGCGCAGTCACGCATTCAGTGGCGTTCCTGCACTTGGTTTTTTGCAATTAGTTGTTTCGTTCCATTCTGATTAGTTTAACGCACTTCCTTCTTGCTGCCATTTTCTCTACATTCTATGTTCCTTCAATCCCACTAGCTTGCCGTTGTTAGTTATCATTATTCTTGCGATGTGAATCGTGGCAACTTGGTCCATCGCATTCCGGTGCTCGGATAATAGTTGTTCAGCTGAAGCTTCGTACCTTCGAAATACAAGAGGAACTTAATTAACTGCGTGTGCTATCGTGCTGCCAAAAGTTATAGCCCGAAGACACTTGAAGAAGAGAATGATCACATCCTTGCAACGCTGCAGGAGAATGGTTACCCCGTTCCGTTCATCAGAAAGCGCGTCACTGTCTGTATGCGTCAGAAAGCTGTTTTCGCCGTTTATAAAAAGAATCTCTTACTGTGCTGTTCAGTGTCATGAACAGAATACTATCGACTGCAGTAGCCAAAGCAAATCCAGATGATTACGCGCGTTGTTACAGACTAGGTCGCTTATATAATGGAATGAACCAAAAAGAGGCAGATCCTGAGTAAAGAATCCCTTTTGGTAACCTTCATCAGACTCAAACTTTACATAAGGACGATTACGTGCTCATTACCTAAGGTCTTAAAAAGACTCCCGGTCCAGTTCAAGTCGTATATTCTATACCAATTCACTTGCATTTGTGAGGCAAGGTACATTTAACGTACGAAAAGGGATTTATCAAAACGGATAGCTGAGCACTGCCTGACGTCGCTATGGAAGGGCGTGGTTGGAGGTCTTAACAGTGTCATCATCGAGCCCTTTTTCCTAAGTGGACACGAAATCCGACCAGCTGAATCATACAAAGCTCTCTAAATTGTACCCAGCAGGTACGTCAAAATGCTTAAAAAGCATCTTCTGAGGAAGGCTGAGGGTATTGCCTTCAGTGTAAAAGCGCTCTTCTTGCCGTTGCCAAGCGGCGACTCCTCAGAGTCGGACAATGGCAGCGGCCGAGCGCGATCCGCTTCGTGCCCATAGGCTGCTATAACGCCCGTCTTCAGTTGATCGACAAGACTATCAACTGAATGCAGTAGCATCGTTTAAATGCTCCCGACTCACCTATTCTTAGTACGGCCTTCACTAGTCTACTGCGTTGGGTTGTTCTTACATTCTTATAACTCTATTTGCCTGACGATAAGTATTGAAAATCGACCCAGTCCTAATCTTGAGTACTTATTTTGACTGTACCTTCCATGGGCATTATTCGTGAGTATAAAGAACTCGGGAACCAGTTCCATAAAATGTAAGACGTCTATTGCATACTTGTCAGATGCCGAATAGTTGCACACGTGGTAATCGCAGTTTATCTCAACAACCACACTTTCCCGTTGTGTGTACGCAAACCGTTCACCAAGACCTTGGCTTTACTGTGGCCAGCAGATTCCGCGACGACAAATCGCACAAAAAGTGGTCATTTTGACACCTTCATTTGTTACTTATTTAATCCACCCTTGGTCATCTTAACTATAAAAGTGTGTTGTGTTTGGCTCAACGATGGATCACTGAAGATGAGCATTTTTGCAAGACCGACTTTCCATGACTAAGCAAAACGTCACGAGCATTATAACGAAGCGGAACTTGCGGGAGCGTGCGCGAATACTGCGTAAACAAGCAGCCATTAAAGTATTTGGGACCTGTAGCATTAGGTCTGTTTGAAGCGTAATCAGGAAGGATACATCGAGTATGCTGTCCGAAATTTCATGATCTCTGAATTTTCAATGAGTGAGTTTGACAATGCGTTCCCTTGAGGAGGAAAACTACGGGAGCATTGTGCAGATTAATCCATATTGGGCTAACAAAGTAGCCAAATGCCTTTCGCACTTGTTTGGACTCACCAGATAGTGGTAAACTGATCTAGGAATGGGAGAGTGATCTACTCCTGGATATCGCTACATGATGAGTGCAAATAAGGACGAAACGCGCCGTGGAATGCCGTGACGAGAGAGCAACACCGAAATCTAGCCAAATTCCGTTGGAGGTAGGCTGTGTGAATAGCAGGTGGGTCAGAGGAGAATAAACCGGACAAATATGGCCGTATAATCCGGGTTAATTTAGCTCATTGGTAGCCAGTGCAAACTGCGTTATCGGTATGAGTTTGCCAAGAACGTCGATTCATCGCGCAGTGTATTTGCCAAAACGAACAGAATGAAATCCAGCGATGGGTTCTATCTCGATGGGAAATATGCGACCGGGTACAAGCTACTGGGGACGGTCGTGAGCGAAATGAGTTACAAATAGTGATGATGTAAACAATTTTACTTCCCAAGTAATGAGAATATCAACCGGGAGTGCTGACATATTGCGTCACAGAGATGACACTATGAATCGGCCAAGTTCCGGTAATACCGCTCTAAGTACTCGTTTATCGATTGATCACCAGGAGGTGGCCATTTCATGTGTCGACGTTCGCTACGGGTAGCAGAACTCCAGGCACCCCATAGTGCTCCAGACATTCGGTTATAATCGGCGTAACTACGCCATACAATGCGAGAGATTCTCCAACGAGTTTTGCATCCACGACGACGGGATGTTACAACACATCGGGAGTGTATACGGACCCAGTTGCTGTCTCTGGGTAATGACGCAATCTGGAGGCCAGCGGTATCCTAAAGTGCAAACATTAGATATTGCTAGTATTGAAACAACAGCTTACTCTGATATCTTTCGGTAGCACTGTATTCCGTTTAATTGCGACCAATCTGAGGCGCAGATCGGAGAAATGTGCAGAGACTTGTCTGCGCTTGTAATCTCTCTTCATGAGAGCATCTTGGAACCCCAAACGAACTGGACTGCATAAAAATGAGAAAAGCGAGCTGTACTTTTACGAGACTGGAAAGGGGGATACATGCATAACTCTTCTTTCAAAAGCTTTTCGACTTCTGGGTTGTTATGGTGCGGAGGCGTTTTGTCGGGTGTGTAATGATGCTGATAAATGAGGCATGGAGGAATTTTGGATGAGATGAAAAGATTTCTGAGCTCTCCGGTAAGTGAAGCGAAACCATTTTTAAAACTTGATACCAATGCTCTTGAGATCATCAAGGTCTGAAAAACACACCAAGCGTATCAGCGCCACCGCAGTATGATTGATAAACGTAAGCAAGATGCAGAGGGATCAATAAACCCGGAGTCCGGGCACAAAGCGCAACCTGAAAACATGATCAATCTAGGCAATTTTGTGCTCACTGGATCTCGGAATTCAGGATGATTTAGTCACAAAATGTAATTCATTCCAATTCAATTAGGTAGATTACAGGTAAAGTGATTTAGATTCTCCGTCCTGTGTCGTATGTTAATAAAAACTAAAAGACAACAGTCACTCAAGGAAGCTGCTTGTATAAAATTTACGGAACGACCAACAAACTGAGTGTGAAAAACCACGAATAAATAGTGCATAAAGCAAATAAGGGACGCAAAATGATCTCGTTGGAGTAATTCACACCATGCAACTACAGTTCCGAGACTGATAAAGGCGGTTTAAACACATTTAGTACATTCGTCCGATGCTCAAATCGATATAATCAGTTCAGGGACGTCGCAACAGGGCTAACAGACGAAAGCAAAGAAACAACTTTGGTTAACGAAAGAGGTAAAAATACAAAAAAAACAGCCAGTCGTCCGTAACGGCCTAAGGGGACGATTTCTTGCCAGGGCCATGGTAAAATCAAGAGCTGCACAAGCACCCTATGCTTGTATAATTCCGGCTGTGTTAGCTTAACATGAACCAAGATCGGAAATCAAATCAGGATTAACAATTCTTTTCGGTAAACTCACTTCAGACCCTAACGTTTACCTAACGATGAATGTGTGGGGGAAAGCGTTAGCATTATCGTAATCGCTTCAAGCGTCTGTAAGAGGCGTTTCTTCAGTTCTTTCGGGTATCGCTTCGGTACGGCATAGTAAAACTTGAAGGCATCTTTTGTCAGAATTTGATGCCCACTAGAACCAAATGCTAAAAGATGTAACTGTTAATGCTCCTGACCGCGCCGCACCGCAGTGACCCTGGACAGTGCTCAGCTATCCATACTGACAGACGCTTGGTCGTATGTCCGAGGTATTGGCACTAAAGATGCAAGTAGGCTGATAGGTAATGTATGATTCGGACGTAGCTGAAAATCTGTCCTTGAGAGACTGAACTACACAGGGTGGGGTCTATTGAGGAACGTGCGGATGGGCGAAGCCGTAGATGTTAGCTACAGCAGTGAACTCTCCTATTCAGGAGATCAGAGGCGATATCTCCCCTAAAAGGAACAGAGGGAAGCACATTTTTTGAAACCGTTGCTACAGGCTCAATGTGTTCGCGGATCATAGCGTGGCTTTTGATGAGCGGGGTAGGGCAGCCATTTGAAAGCAGCGTTTTTACAATTCGAGTGTTTTTGGACTGTAAATCTTGGTGGCCGCAGGTAATAGGAGCAACGCATTGACTTCCGTTTGTACCTCAAAGAGACGATGATCGAAAATTGTGTGTATTGGCCAACATACGTAGTCTTCCAGAAGACACTCCTCTCAAGTGAGCCATCCTCGCGCCTCCTCACCAACACGCCTAGAAACTCCAGCTTGCCTTCTTTTTCCATTCCACCAGTAAACTTTATTGAGGAATTGCACTGTTAAACTGATCGACTAGATGGATGACATCCGCGCGAGAATTACGAATAATAAAACTGTCATCCATATACATCCAGTAAGAATCTAATGAAACAATTGGATGGGACCATGAAAAAATCTATAATCGAAACACTGGAGATCCATCGAATACAATAAAAAGTTGGGATAAAAAAGCATCGCTGACTTCGTGAGTGAGCCAAATCCAGAAAGACGACATTCCACCGTGATTGAACTTTTAGACCAATTTCTTTGTTTCCTATCGCCGAACATCCTCCCTCTGGTGCCAGATGGGCGGTTCGGGAATTTCCCGTTCCGGCGAATGGTTCGGCGGCAGTGTTCCAGGACGTGGTGAGTTTTCGCCGGGCAAGCGTTCTCCCTATAAAAAACCACAAATGTCCGTTTAACAACACTGCGACGTGGCTGATGTGACTCGCCACAAAATAATATCACTGCCCCTTCTCTCCTTTGGAGACATTGTACACCGGCAAGCAATCCGAGCATCGGATCTTGTCTCAGACTTCGGGAGTGTTGGTCCCTGGCATGGCTTATCGTCATGCGAAAGGCGTATGAGCAGTGTCCACTCACCGACTCCCGACGGGTGCGAACCCCTCATATCGTCCTGCTGCCTAGTGGGTTAGGCCCTTTGGCCAAAGGTTCGGGGCGGTGGTCCTTTAAGACAACCTATCTACATCGGCCTAGGCAACCGGGTAGTATACCGCCTATTGACGAATCATGGACTTACAACTACAACCATTTACACGCTCTCTTGCTGCTACGATGCTATCCACTCATGCTACTATACCAACTTCACAATCATAAGCCACCATTTTACCTACCCTTCCCTTGTACCATTCACACCCATTTTTATCTGATTCCTCTTTGGCGAACAACTCAATCTTCACCGATATACCTGTTCCCGTGACATATACCAACTCAAACATACGTGTTCAACAGAGAGCTGCCAGTGCCAAAATCTCCCATCTTCGCTCCTGTAACCCGGAACACAGTTCAAACTTGCAGCCTTCAACGTAAGCACTTTACTGCAGATCGGACAGCAAGCTGGACTTGCACACACGCTAAAGACCCTTGGAATTGATATCTGCTGCCTGTACCAAACACGACTCCAGGACGCTAACTCGGTCTACCAACTGGCACCACCGCTCCACCCACGCACCTGCTTCCATCTCCGCATCTCCGGTGACGCCGAGTCTGCCGCATCTGGGCAACCTGGGGTTGGAATCGCCCTCGGTGCTAGAGCCAAGACTGCTCTGATTAACTGGATTCCGATCAATAGTCCAGTTTGTGCGATGTGGCTCCATGACTCTTGTAAAGTTAGCAGACGTCGAGTCGAAAAGCGTGCTCTCTGCCTACGCACCCACTGACTGTAACTCGGACACAGTCAAAGACCAGTTCTACCAGAAGCTTCATGAGCTGCTCCTAAGGGCTCCTAAAACTGACATCATTGTTTTGACAGGAGACTTCAACGCGTGTGTCGGTCGGCGGCTGCCAGGTGAGTGCCACCTCAGGGGACCCCATGGATGTGATGACGTTCGCTCAGGAAACAGAGAGACTGCTCAGTCTGTGTGTGATCATCAGTTTTTCCTCTCCAGCATGAGCTTTCATCATTCTGGACACCAGTACGCCACTTGACACCTCCCATCATCAACCCAGCGCTGGTCACAGATTGACCACACAGCCATAAGTCGAAGATGGGGCGGCAGCGTACGCGACTGCCGATCATTTTGGCCAACATGCGTCGATACCGATCATGCACTGATATGTGCGACCGTTAGCATGCGTTTCGGTGGTTCACCTAGATTCAGACACGCCCGACTGAACACCTACAAATTGGAGGACTCAATGGTGAAGAGGGAGTATCAACAAAGGTTTCGTGAAAAACTCTCTCCCATCCTCGATGTTGATCAACACGGGTCCAGTATGCAACAAGCCATGCTGTCGGCAGGTTTGTCCAGCTGTGACCTCGCTCACTCCACTATCAAAAGCTGGATCTCACGAAGATCCTCGAGATTGCTAGATCGCCAACGGGCGGTGCCTGCTGGCACAGAGCAAACTGAACACCGCCGGTCTATTGCGCAACAGCTAAAAGCAAGCCTTCGCTCTGGTCGTGAATACTAGTGGTCGAAACAAGCTGATGAGATGGAAGCCGCTGCAACAGATGGTAACTTTCGCCGTCTATTTTGTATCATCAGGGCCACCGGTTACAACTCCCACGCTATCAGCCAGACGATTTGCGATTCAGACGGCACGAAGATCACCAACCTTCACAGGCGATTGGGTCGCTGGGCAGAGCATCTCGCTCTTCAATTCAGCCACCCAACACAGCCCCCTGTGGTACTTTCAGCGTCAACGGATGATATTTGGCCTGTCTCCACAGGCCACCCAACTGAAGCAGAGATCCGAGATGCAATCCGATCTTTGGAACGCCACAAGGCTCCTGGTCCCGACAGCCTACCATCGGTTCTATTCAAATATAACGGGAGTGTACTTGTCAGCGAAATACAATCGCTGTTCACGAAAACTTGGACTGAGGAGAAGGTTCCGACCTCATGGGGAGAACTGGTCCTTGTTCCGATTTAAAAGAAAGGCTCCCGCAATGATTGCTGTAACTGCCGCGGAATCTCGTTGATCTCTGTCACATCCAAAACCTTCGTGTCGGTCCTACTTCGCAGGCTTTCAACGACTAGAGAGGAGCTTTCCAAAGCCGGATTTCGTCCAGACCGCGGCAGCATCAACCAAATCTTCACGAACTGCTTCACATCCACTGGCGTCCAACAATCGCAGTGTTCTTGGACATCCGAGCGGCATTTGATTCAGTAGTTAGATCTGCGTTATGGAACTGTTTAGTGTGCCCAAAAAGTTTGTAACCATCCTGAAGGAACTTTACCGTCACACGTCGGGCAAAGTCAGGGCTTACGACACGCTCTCTACTTCGTTTGTTGTGACCAGCGGTGTTCGCCAAGGTTACCCTGTTTCGCCTTCGCAATTTCGCCATCGAGGATGCCGTCCAAGGAGCACTGGAAGGTGTCCAGAACTGCGGTGTTGAGCTCCTCCCCGGAGACAGAGTTACGGACTTGGACTACGCCGATGATATCGCCTTGGTGGGGGACGACCCAGAAATCGTCCAGAACGCTTTGGACCGCTTAGCGATGGAGACGTCTAAGTATGGCTTATGCTTCACTCCGGGAAAATGTAAAACGCTGCTCCAGGACTGGCAGGTGCCTGAACCCGCGCTCACCATTGCTGGACATGTACTGGAGAAAGTCGCTTGCTTTACTTATCTAGGGAGTTACATCACGGCTGGTGGCAGTGTTGAAGTCTCAAACGGATTACAAAGGTCCGCCTTGCATTCATCAAACTGAGACACCTATGGCATCGTCGTGATGTCAGTCTCAAGCTCAAGAGTAGGGTGTACAATGCATCCGACGGTGCAGTGCTCTTGTACGACTGTGAGATAGACTATTCGATCAGGAGACATGAAGCGATTGTCAATCTTTTACAATCGCTGTCTACGATGGATTGCTCGGGTGTGGTGGCAACACTACGTAAGCAACGCAGAGGTCCGAGATCGAGTGCTTAGAGCGCCTGTTGTACTCCCAGGGAGTGACTGGAAAAAGTGCCGCGGTGGACAGCCAATGATGTGGAGAAGGAGCATAAAGAAGGCAATCTCAAGTTTGGCA